CATAAGCAAGCATAGGCCTGAGCTGCAAATGCAGTAGGAAAGAATTAGTATAAGGCACCAATGTGTGTTTTTCATAGTGCCAAAGTCAATAATCCAAGGATGAGAAGATCTCTTGAAGGTATAGTGCAGTAACTTTATTGCTGTAATAATTTTATTACTTTGTAAGTACTAATTTAATAGAGAATGAAACACAGATTGTCAAAAATAAACTGCAGCAAATATTTTATTTGATGACAAGTCCTAAGAGAAATTTGCATATTCTGCTCTTTAGGACATGTTTTACTTCGTACTTAGCTTTGGCTTTCATTTACATTATACCTGGCTAACAATCTATCATGACGCAAATAAGGCACATGAGATTATTAACATTTGATCACTGTCCACTATTTACACAAGCCAGGGTTAATGTAAAAGGCTGACGAGGGTTAGAGTTTAATCACTGATTTTGGAGAGGCTGGAATAGTACATGTTTTCTCCTCAGTTGCCTTTTCTCAGGGCAGCTCAGTTCCTCTCTACTAGCAAATAGCGGAAGAAAAGTCAGTAAGCAAGCACAAATCCTTCTACCATATTGTACTTTGCCATGCATGTCTACCAAAGGTACATTTCATCTCAGATTTCACTGTTTACCAAACCTGTGAGTATAATTTTTTCAACTGAGCCCATTACTAATTTTTTTAAGAAATATTTCCCTTTATATTATTTTTCTCCCCATTAATTCCATTTGAATTAGGAAGAGCTTAATTCATCAGATCTGGTCACATCATTAAGATTATAGACTTTTTTAAAAAAAGAGAATCAGAAATGCCTTTGCACAACTATTATTCCAGTAGACTGTTGAAAGGAAGCTGCAATAATTCAAAGGAATCTCAAAAGCTAAACATGTTTTGAGGAATATGCTTCCAGCTGAAGAACAAATATTTTTAACTTCAAAATTTGTCACTGAAATAAAACACCTTTCACTTTGCTTTGGGTTCAGAGACTGCTAAGATTTTGGGTTGAGGTTGCTTGACAATAAAAGCATCATTTGAGGAATGAACACCAATCAAGTGCAACATGTAAGATTTATATATGTATTCCAGCTGGTTTCCATAATTGCATTGCACAGACACCAGCCGTTTAGCAGAGCACATCATGGAGCGAAGGATGAGTTGGCTTTCTCTTTTCCCAGCAGAGCAGTGTAAGGAGAGCACAGTGATGGGAAGCAGAGGACATGCTCACTTCCTCTCATGGAGGATTTCATTTTCTTCTTTGCTGAGAAGACTAGTCTCCTTTGCCCTGAAGTATTAACAAATATACCAGCTCCCAATGAAGACAGGCTGCCCTATATCTATCAATAGAATCTATATAGAATCTTTTCCCTTAGGGATTAATTCAACTTTTGATTCAATCTTTCTGAGCTTTAAATTATGATGTTACAAACCTCCAAGGAACTGCTGTACTATTTGTGACCTTCTTTATTACTTTCTGCTGTTTGATAAAGCAGTGAAAATTGATTTATAGATTAGTTTGCTTGTGAACATTGAATATCAATGGTGAGAATGTGATTCATGAAAAAGCAGGAGAAGTTGGCATTGGTTAAAGTTTAATATAGCAGTTTATTAATTAATGGTGAAGGACAATAGAATAACTGCACATTAATCTTCAATGAGATTCTGGAAGCGCAATGTGAAATAATAGCAATGAATCAAGGCATCTTGCAAGAATTGGATTTAAGGTTTTCAAAACATTTTCCACAATGAATAGTTTTGTCCATTGCTTCCACTTCTCTGCCCTAAACCCCTCTCTCTTCCCCTTAAGTAAGACCTGATGGTCGTTTTTGTGTTTTCTGTAAGCATTAAAGGTTAAAGGTGGTAGGAGAGGCAGTTTTCCAAATGGAGCCTAAAATTAGGTGTTGGTTTCCGTATTTGGAATCTTAGGCCCCAATCCAGGAGTCTATTTTTATTCAAAGCAGCCGAGCACTTGACTTCAATGGATCTAAAAACTCTCATGCTTAAGTGCTTTGCTGAATCAGGACAGACTTAAGCACAAATGTAAATGCTGTGCTGAATTGGGGCTCTAAATATGTGGCTTGATTTTTAAAAGTGCTGAGAGACAGCAGGTCTAATTGAAGTCGATGAGAGCTGCGAGATGCTCAGCGTTTCTGAAAATCAGGCCGCTCGTAGAGGTGCCTGAATCTGATTTCAGGTGCTCAGCTTGCAGTATTCACCATGGGGAAAAATGGTGACCCAGGATAACAGGCAATGGAAAACCCTGATTTTATGCAATAGACTTTAATAACGCAAAAGGAGGAGATAGGACGCAATAGTTTCCTGGAAATCTAACGTGGAGTGCTTTTTTTGGCAAGCATCAAAAGTGCTATGCAAAAATATGAAATGAATAAACAAATGAAATTAGAAAGCCTAGTAACTGGAGAAATATTGGGCTAAATTCATGCCTTGCAGAAAAGCAGCAAGACTGATGAAGTACATCAGGAATGATTTGGCCTACTACGTTTTGAGCATTAATTTGATCAGGAGCAGTGAGTCAAGAACGCAAATCCTGCAGTGAGGAACTTCACTCTACCACCCTTGTGAGAGCCAAGCAAAACAGTTTGGATTAGTAAATGGTAAAAAAATGCAAAAGCTAAACATTTTTGCAAGTTATGGAGCATAAATTAAACAGCAATGTTAGGAACAGAGATGAGGTGGCGGCTGGTTGTTTTGAGAAAAGCCATTTTTTCAAGTGAATTGAGTAGTCCTTCCCTTAAAAAGCACAGCCAGGCGGTTGAGCAGCTGCCCTGCATTGCAGCTGGGTCCCTGCCAAGGCGACATCCAGCGAGACGACTCAGCCACACCGTGCTGCGCTGTGAACCCCTGGAGAAGGCTGCTGTCACAGCAGGACAGGCCTGCAGCCGTGAAATGGCTACCTGTGGATGAACCCTGGGCAAAGCAAACAAAAGCAATTCTTCCCCTATTTCTGTGCACATAAAGGAGAGGGGTGGGAATACCTTCATCCCCAGGCCCACCTGCTGCCCGCCCAGTGGCAGAGCATCTGTGGAAGCCCATATGCTGCACACTGTATCATCCTCAAAGGAGTCAGGAAAGCCATACGTGTCCAGCCACCTACCTGTCTGGTCCTCCTGGTCTGTCTGCTGAGACAGAGGCTGGTGAAGGGCTCTCATGACAGGCTTACTCCCAGTACAGGTGGTTCTCATCCCAGGATGGAAGATACCGACCATTTTACACTTCTCTACCTGCACTGGGATCCAGCGTGGCCAGACAGAAAAGTCTTTGAATTCCCCACCCCCTTCTAACTCAAACCAGCAACTCTTAAACTCCACTGAGAATTTTTTGAAAGTTTTCTTACATGGTTTATGGCACAGCTCTTCAATAGACACGGGTACTCAAGGCACAGAGACACACAGCACCTTTCTACCATTAAATATATTAAACCTGGTGATGCTGTGCTCTGTACAAAGTGCAGTAATGCAGGCATGCTCTGGCCGATAATCTGAAATAAATTACAACCACTAGAAAGAGTAACAGAAAACCCACTACACAACCAATTTTTGGGGGAAAAAACCTGTCACTTATAATAAAAATGAGAAACAGAAATGGATTTGAAACATTAGTTTCCCTTTATTTTCTCAGTGAGGCTGATGTGTACTGCACATTAAAAAAAAGAAAAAAATCACAGGAATTTTCATACAATGAATTAAACCACAAAAGTACATGTAGAATCGGCAGGTGGAAAATAGCCCAGCTGGGGCTTAGCTACTATCTCACTTCCCCTGTTCAGCATAGTCCAACCTACAACTTTACATGTTCACCTACTGTACAAATCTTACAGTAGTTCCATCAGGTCAGTGGCTCACATTATTGAAAATGTCTGTCACATAGGTACAAATTTAGAATCATCATATTATATTACATGGCTATTCTAGGTCATTTATAGATCAGATCTTACACTACAGTGATTGAAGTTCTCATTACAGCCATTAAAAAGGACACATAATCATTACCTACTGTAGGCTTACATCTAAAGGGATAAGGAGGAGGTGTGGTTGTTTTATGTTTGTTGGGTTTTTTTTTTCAACCGACCCAAATATTTTTACCCCAGAGGCACAAACTCTCCTCTCAGTGCTGTTCTTGGTGATGGCAGCCCAACTGCTTTTCAGAGTAGTTTAGCACACATATTTTTCTTCAACTTTAGGCTCTCTCTGCTTGGATTAGTATTTAGATAATTTTCCATTCTGTAGGAATTACTCAGTTACAGCTCTAGGGAAGACCACAGTTCCTAAGTACCAGTTCTGTTACCTGTATTGCGGATGTGGTACTTACCACAGCATGAAAGCAACAGTACAATCTTCATATAAAAGACACACAGAGCTATGCTGCAATTTGCCTCTGGTGACAATGTGGTATATTTGAAATGTTCTTGGGGAAGAAAAAAGAAAACTAAACACTGAGTTTATATTTTGATGGATTTCCTACTACAGTGTCTATGAAAGATCCAAATAGCTTTATTCAGCAATCCTAGCTCTATTAATTTCATATGTAATTTGTAAATCCACAGAGGAAAGCCATCTTCAAGATGAAAATGTTTGCCAGGCCAGTGAAAAAAAAAAAAAAAATTTACTCACGCCATTATGCCTGCTTGGTGAAAAATAAATAATGCCCGCACACAAGCCCCACACCAATTTATTAATATCAGCAATCTAGGGCAAAAGAGAACGATTTAAAATTTAATCACAAAAATGTAAAGGCAAAATAGGTAATGCATCTGGTCCTTGAACACATAATATGATATACTAAATATTGATTTCTTAAAAATAATTTATTGCTTTTAATATTTTTCTTTACAACAGAAGATACTCAAAATCCAGAAAGGAAAACTGTAAACTTTTAGTTTGGCATTCACACAAAGTTAAAATACCTGCATTTTTAACCTACAGAGCAACAACAAGAATTATGCAGAGTAAAGGATGTTACATTTGTAACATAGAACCTCCAGAAAAGTTCTTTTCTTTTTTTTTCTTTTTTCTTTTTTTGTTTTGTTTTGTTTTATTGCTATCTATCTACTGAGAAATAAGAAGCCAAAAAATCAAGCAAGCATCCGACAGGACAGACAGTGGAATCTCTCAGAACACAATATGCTGGTGATAAAATGAATGCAGCCATCAAAATCAACTGCACTGATATGGGGGTAGAATCAGTTTTCTAAGATTTGGAGTGGGAAGGTAGATTAAATAGTTAGGTGTGCCATATTTTTAAGAGGAGACATGAATGCCAAAGAGTAATAGAATAACAAATCTATACATTCACAAGCAAATTCCAAACTTTGCTGATTCAGTAGAGACTCCGAGTTCAGATGAAATTCTGATGCTCAGAATAGCAGTAGTTTATACTCTTGTGGTTTTTTATTTCCTGAAATTTCTATTTAATTTAACAGAAGCAATGTCATCAGCAACAATGTCATGGGCACATCTGAGGCCATGCTAGTGCATAGTGAAAAAAAAAGGAAAATACCCAAAACCAACCCACTGCTTCTGCAAAAGCGGAATTTCCAAACGAAGCACTTGCTTACTCCAAACTGACAACCATCATGCATCCTAGGTATAAAATTTCCACTGGCCTTTTTATTCTTTTAGTCATCTCATAATTTATAATAAATAGGATAATTATAACTGATAAATATGTCTCTTTAGTAAACAAAGGAATGAAGGATTGGTATTTATACAGGATGCATAACTGTAAAAAATATAGATAAATACCATCATTAAACTCTGCCAATGAAAAGATTACTGGCGTCAAGAACAGTGTTTAGACACAGAATTACTGTAAAAATCATACTGTACTTAGTACCTCAGCATATTTTTATAAACTAAAATCACAAAAATTAAAACAAAATAGCATTTTAAAAAGATTTTTGACCTCTAGTTCCAAAACTACTGTTGATACATAAAATAAAAACATTTCTTAATGATTTCCCATTTGAGAGACTTTACATAAAATTATGATTTTTCTAGAAAAATTTAGATGAGAAAATTTCATTCCCCTAACAAATTCAGTGTATAAAACTGCAAAAGAAAATCAAGCAATGAGAAAAATGTGGAAAAATACTGCAGAAGGTGGTTAATATCTTTTGGGCTAGGATAATTCTTGACAAAATTCTTACATAAGCTCACCAAAGAAGGGATGAATGTGTATAATGCATTTTTGCACTCAGACACACATGCACACATATGCACACTCACACCCTCACCCACACGCTTTTCTCTTTTTTTTTTACAATCAAATATATATAAGCGTAAGTTCAGCTTTCTACATATGTTAGTGTACAATAATTGTTTCACTTCATATAATTACATTTGAGTATTCTGGATTAAGAAAAAATCAGCAGTTTTTGAAAAGAAGGCTGCATTTACAGTGCATAGCTGTAACAAAAAAGAACATCGTCATACAGTATGTACATAAATAAAAATACTCCATTTAACATTTGTAAATACTCAACTACTTTAGAGAATGTAGCAAATAAACTATCTGTGCACACACCCAGATAGTTATATCCAACTCTCATTAATAATGTAACACCACGTCCGCTCATTAGAATAAATCGCTGAACAAGCTGCACATTTGACCATTAACAAGGCTTTGAAAATTCTGCTGTGGAAGATCAATGTTGTAGACATTTACATGGGTGTCAGAATTAAAAGATGAAACTTCAAAATGTTAGGGAAGCTTGAGCCTTTTAATTTTCTTCTCTGCAAAAAAAAAACCCCACAAAAAAACCCAAAAAACAAACCAACCGAAAAAAGAACAATCTTAAAACAAAGCTAAGACAGATTGCAGGCTTCTGGGACCTGTGGTTTCTTCTGGATTGTCATATTATCACCGTGTTGTGAGAAGAAGCTTCTTTACAAAAAAAAAATAAAATATGCAGTGTCTGATCCCCAGACATCAGCAGCCATAGTTCTCACACTGGGGTTTTTTTTCTGTTTGTTTTTGTTCTTTTCTGTTAAAATGCAATATGTACAGATTTTGCAGTTCATCGTTGTACGTGTATCTCTGTGGAACTGCTGCCATGTCTTGTGATTTGCATTGAACTCGCAAGGAACTCCCGGCTCCCCTGCCACCGCTCGCCCGCGAAAGCGCAGCTGACACCCATGGACATGCGTGTGCTTACTGGACAGCATCCTGCCCCTCCACTCCTCGAGCAGCTGTGTTCATGTAAACCATGGTTTTGAACAGAGAGTGTAAAGTAGGAGAAATTCCTAAGTACGACTTTTTAGTTGTCCATTATTGAAGGACGTGATGTCCGTGAGGTATTCGCCATCCCTTTGTTTTCCTCGGATGACATGCTTGTTACCTACGCAGGCTCCGCTGTGCCTCTTTAAGTAAACTATCAAAATCCATGGAGTCATACTTGCTTTTAGTGGAAGCAGGATCAAAATCATCTGAGTTTGAATCTGAAACCCAAAGGATGCAAGCTTAGGTAAGAGGCAAGAACTACTTATTTTCTCTGTATATTGGTACAAATGAGGCACTGTCCACTTACAAACACAACTTTATGGGATGATAAAAGTATAGAAATGACCATCACAGAAGCTTTAGGCATTCCTGGTAAGAAGCAACACTTAACAAAAGTGGAACACATCAGCAGCAGTGGGGAGAACCATTAATTGCATATACATTTAGAGCAGGTTAACTCAAAACAGTTTTCTCAAGGACTTGAGCACCAGTACACTTGTGTATAGGTCTCAAAGTAGTCCAGATAATCTTGACAGATGCCTTAACCAAAATTCCACCTTTGTCTTCTAACTCATGTTTCATAACATGCCCCAGACTTAATTCTCGTGAGAAAGGTTCTGAAGAAAGCCAGGGCAGCCTGTGAGCAGCACATGGAGGACACAGCTGCCTCTGCCTGCCTTGCCTTGGGGTCTTGCAGAAGTCTCTACACCTGCCTGAATCTCTGGTTTTGCTTCAATTTGTCTTTTTGGGTTTGCTTGTTTAAAGTGTGAGCAATTCTGGGTAGGGCCCCTACATGGCTGCATGAGCAGTCTCAGGTGAGCTCCTCAGCTTTCGGCGTCACATGGGATAAGCCACAGCAGCAACAACAGCTCCTGTGGCCTGGGATACCTGTTCCAGCTTTGTCAGGTGCTCAGACATGGAGCAGTCTGTTCCCAGCACAGAGGAGGGATTGTACGTTTGTGGTCACACAGCTCCAGTACAATTATTGACATGGCTGCGAGCAATGAATTTCCTTTTGGAGTCAACCCTGCTTAACACTGACTCTCACCAGTTCCTGTGTCACAGCTCCTTTATGAGACTGCCCTTTTCTTGCCATTTCTTGTGTTGAATTAATCAGAACTCCCCATCTACCACTATGAGACACACTGCGCATTAAATGTTCATTACAAGTTCTGTTAAGACAATATCTTCTCACAGAGGAGAGGTGTTAAACTTCTGACTACTATTTTCAAGTGTTTTCTTTCTTCTGTACTCAACCCAAAGCTGATTAATTCTCTCTGTCCTGGTACCAGCTCATGAATTTTAAAGTTCATCCTGCCATTTCCTTATGTTGCTCTATCAGATACTCTGCAAAATACAGGGAATGCAGTCTGAAGTACAGAAACTCAAGCTGTCAGCAGGACGAAGTGAAAACAGTCTGCTCACAGATACTCTGGGAATTCCACTCACAATGGAGAGAGCTGACAGGGAATACTCCCAGTGATGAATAATGTTCAAGAGGGTTCCCTTCAGACAACTTATTTTAAACCCCAGATTTTCTGAGATACGGAGATGACCTTGGCTTCCATTGCTGAAGATAAGTCAAATCAAGGCAAGACTTCAATCAGGTTTTACTGTTTTTATCAGCCTACATTTCAACAAATGCCTTGCTACCCTTTATATTTTCTACATCAACCCTATATCTCTTCAGCAGTCAATTGCCTTTTCTTAGCTTTACATTATCTGTTTAGCCACTGAAGTGAATTATAGCATATTCATTGTGAACAATGCGTATCATCTTTATAATTTATTTTGAAAAGACATCAATTGGTTAGAAAAAATACATCTGTATTCACTTTCTGCATTGTACAAAGCCAAGGGCAGCACATACAAGATTTCATTAGCACTGTGTTACAGGGTTATGAGAGATTTTAATGACTGTGGTCATTTATTCATAAAAAAATCCACAATATCTGATTAATATAGATTCAACAGCAAAATGTGCCTTGCTATATTATTCAGAAAAGAGTATTTTCCATGTCTTTAGTCTATTTATACAGGTATTAGGAAAGGTTTGACATTTAATGAATACTTTACATTTTAAAAGGTAATTAAGTAAGAGGTGAGTTTATCATAAATTGTAATATTACAGAGGCTGTTTTGGTAGTCTGCATAGTCTCTTTATGCATATACTTAACATCAGTATCCCTGCTGTAAGACTTTGAACATCTCCAAAAACCCGTGCAAGGGGAATCACCACACCCTGACCAGGAGCATAAGACAGAACCATACATTTTTGTCCAGGCAAGACACAGACCCAGGTGTGTTGTCACAGCCAGGATACACTTGGGACTGGAGTTATCACAGCATACTGCAGGCTGGAGACTGTGGGCTGCATAAAGCCCCACACCACTGTAACTGCAAACACCAAGAGATTTGCTAAGCTCTCCACAGGTTGGAGTCTCTTACATCATGACTGGAAAGCCCTCCAAGGTGACACCTTCATACACAGATGCTTATGCATTATTTTAGAATCACCAGCTGATCAGTGGCTTTTGCCACACTAAGGGTCAAATTTGGCCACAAGCTCTTCCAGCTTTCAAACTATGAACTGTGTTTAATAACTGTCCCTGGCCAATTCTGCCCATCCACAACAGAACCCATGGCAAAGTAAGAATCATTATGAAATTTTTGGGTTGAGGCATCTACTCTGTCCTCTGTTTACCGCTCATATACATTAGTGAGGTATTGGAATCAAACAGTTACAGCAATAAATAGCAAGGCATGTGTGAGGTTTCTGCAGTGCTATATTTTCAACTTAGAAGTGTATAATTGAATACTGGGCACTTATTTTTGATAACGATGGAAATGAGCTTTAAAAGAATATTCACAGTTTGGAATATCTGAAAGAAGCCAGCTGAGATCAGTAGACTTGTAAACTTCTTAAAGCAAGTGAAAACCACTTTCTTCAACACCACTACAATCATTTAAATGGTTATCAGCAGTAAACAAAAAAAAGCAAACCTTAAATTCTCCTGAGTTACAAGGTTCCAGTTATGTACTTCAATTCACATAGAGCAAAATACCTACCTAGGTCTGCATAGTTAGACTTGCAAAACTGCTTGCGTCCACAGAAGTACAGCTCAAAATCAGGTTCATTTGACCTGCGTAAAGTGTATCCATTTTCAAGAGCAGCGAAGGCGTCACAAGTATAGCGGTAGGTGATGAAACCATAGCTGTCTCTGCCATTGAAAAATACAGTTGTGAACAAAAGCTGAGAAGAGTTAACACACATTACTGTAACCCTTTCCTGAAAGCAAGAACTTGCCAGAGACCCAGCAGTGGAAATGCCAGAAGTACTGCATCCATTTGTCAGCATGATTGTCCTGCCATGCAGCTAAATACTTATTTCTGGGACAGGAAATTTCAACTAGCAAGATTAATAAATAAGGATGAAAGAAAATAAGTACAGTTTTGAACTCAGCATGTCATCTGTCACAGGACTTGTACTGGGAACTCCCATACCAGTAATCTTACTGCCATAATTTTTTACATATGGCAGCTCTCAAACAAGAAGTAATCTCAAAAGTTCCTACCCATCATCCCGCAAATTTACAGTGCACTCCTCAATTTCACCAAAAACTTCAAACCGGTCCCTCAGTTCTGTTCGGGTTGTGTCAGGTCTGATTTTACCCAGATAAATCACACGACGTTCTTCCTGTTGATAAAGAGCAACCAGGGAGGAGTTTTTTTTAACAAATGTGTAATAGAGATGAACCTACACATACATGCACACAAATACACACACACAGATGTGCAGAGGATCACAATTATAGAAACAGTCTTTTGTGGAAGTCCTATTGCATCTTGCAAGTACATGAAATAGTTCTCTCCTGGAAAGCATCTAAGGTATTTAAGTGATGCTACATTTGTCAGGTGGTGTGGTCCTAGAAGGGTGCCCCAATTGCTGTTACTGTTCTGTACACTGACAGATGCTTCCATTTGTATCCTACTGTACCTTCTTTCCTCTTACCCTTTCTACCACTTCCCCTCCAGCACTGCAAACTCATTCAAACTAGGAACTCTTTTTCTCTTGCCATGTATACAATACTGAGCAAAACTCATCTTAGTTGCAGAGGAGCAAAATGTAACACAATAATTGCATAAGAGTACCACAGACAAAACATATGACAAGCATAACATTATAAACTCATATGACTCAGTAGCTGATTCATCCTGCAATCCTGTTCCACCATAATCCATACCTCAAAATAGAGGGAGAATTGTTTAAGGTTGTCACCCCAGCCAGCAACTAAGTACCACACAGCCCCTAGCTCATTCCCTGCTTGCCAGTGGAATGGGAAGGAAAATCAGAAAAAGGTGAAATGCCTGTGTTAAAATCAGCTTGATCAATTAAATAAACTAAGATATAATAACAGCAATAATTATACTGACAGTAATTGTAATGAAAAGGGGGGGGAGAAGAATAAAACCCAAGAAAACAAGTGCTGCACACTACAATTGCTCAGCACCCACTGACCAACACCCAGCCCATCCCTGAGCAGTGGTCTGCCTCTCCCAGCCAACTCCTGGTTTATATACTGGGCACGATGCCATATGGTATGGAATATCCCTTTGGCCACCTCAGGTCAGCTGTCCTGGCCATGTTCCCTCCAAGCATCTTGTGCACCTGCTCCCTGGCAAATCACGGGAAACTGGAAAGCGCTTCATTTAGAGTAAGCACTACTTATCAACAATTAAAACATCAATGTCTTATCAACATTAATACTAAACCCCAATCACTGTCCTGTACCAGCTACTAAGAAAAATTAACTCTATGCCAGCAGGAACCAGGAATGGGCCCAAAAGTTGTCTTTTATTAAAATAAATATTTTGGGGAAATGACAGGAAATAAAATATATCCCACTGTCACCACTACCTTTTCGTTTATTCAGAATAAAAACCACCTGACTGAAGTCCCTAGGCTAGGGTATCTTCTGCATGTTCTTTCAACATTTGGAACAAAGCATCAGATACTTTTATAACAATCAAGTCACGGTCATATCATTCTTTCCTTAGTACAAATGCTCAGCAGAATGAGGGAAGGACTAGAAAACCCTTTAAGAGTCACTTAATGAATTTTAGGATAAACACTTTTCTGAGGGCAGAGCCACTTAATAAGCTGGAGGAAAAGAAAAAGGGAAAAGGAGATCTTTAAAACACTGACCTTAAGGAAACTAGGGAAAAGAAAAAACAGCTATACATGGCTTGGTTGCTCAGCCTTCCTGCCTCCAATTGCCTCTGGCCTGGCACTACTGGCCCTACTGCCCATCCCTTACACACCCACACAGCAGTCCCATAAATTGAACCAACACCACATTCTCAGCTGGTGGAAATCTGTCAGTCAGTGGAGCAGTGTCAGTTTAAACCATCAACTTTGGCACCTGAGACTTGTGCAGAATTTCGGTGCCGAATGCCGAAGGAGCTACACTGACTGCTGAGAATTCATGACTATCGTAACCTGGAGGTGCCTAAAGGCTAATGGCACCTCAACTGTGCAATGCAAAAGGCACTAGGGACCTAAATATAGACTTGCATTCCTGCTCAGAAACATTCTAGCCTGAAGAGACAGGTAGTTTATAGTGTTACAATTCAGAAATAGTGAGAAATGTATCTTTTCCATGAGCCCCCACAGAGGCATAAAGCACTAGTCATTCTTGGACCATGGACAATACAATTGATATTAGACCAAAACACAGGTAAAACCAGAAATTATACTGATGTCATTTCTCTACTTGTTTGAGTATTCATTTGCGATAAAGAGACCATCAGAACTCTTGGTTAAGGGTGCTGAAAATCTTGTCTTTCTGTTCCCAGGAGAGCACTTTGCTCTCAGGAACTATTTAATGCAAAATAAATAAACAATTCCTGCAGCAGGAAGCCAACACTAAAATATCTGTCTCCCAACAGAAACTCCTTCTTACTAGCACATTCAGTAAACTATTTTTGCTGACTCTTTTCCTGGCCTCACAAATCTCAGGGGCTCAGATCCAGTTAATCTAAGCTCCTGAGAAATGAAAGTTTAGAACTGCAGAAAACAAGAGGTAAAAGAATCAAACATTCCTACCCAAAAGCCCTGCCTACTAAGGAATGGCGTAAGAATTATCCATGTCCTTTATAGGTCCCTGGTCAGCCCAGTGGAGGCCTTGGTTGTACATACCAAAGTATGTACCAGCTCTCCTTAATCAGGGGGATCAGGTAAGGATCTCATTTAGATACTGGAAAACTACTGCCTCTTGATTATGTAAGTGCCATAGGTGGAACCAAGGTGAGTGCCTTGATAGTCCTCTGTAACCATGCTGGGACAGACATATTCACTTTTAAATGTTACACCTTCCAAAATGCAAGGTCCAAAAGCTGCCCTTGTTCTCTGCCGCAGCAGTGCAGTTTAGAGAAACTAGTGTGGCTAAAAGGACTTGTGCTCATGGGTAGCCATACATTTAAGGCACAAGGGTACTTTCCAGCCAGCTGCTGCTTTTGATCTCTGTCTCCACTGTCCACAGTCCACAGCCCTGACCTTCCTGACAGAGGAGTTTGGGTAGGGCTTCCGTGAATCAGGGACTGTAGAGTGCAAGCTACAGAAATATGCATTTCTTCCATTTTCCCTATTCTAATTCTGCTTACTTTCACTGTGGTTGGGTGCCATAAACTTCAGAAACAGGAAAATCTGCATATGCACAGTAATTACTTTTTCAGACTGTTTTACCAAATCAAGGATTAAACCGCACTGAAACACTTGATAAGAAACAATTCCATTGATTCTTGCTATTGAACCTAAATGACTGACCAGATGGAGCAGAACATAACACAGCAGACTGCCTAATATACTTTAGCTGAGATAATACATCTCGACTGAAAATAACATAATGTTTCACTCACTGACACGGAGATTGTTATATTACAGTGTGATGGAAATATCTACTGCACACTCTTCCATAAGTCTGTCTGCATGCCTGTGCAATTTTTCCTTCTTCTATCCCTCTAATAACCTTTATATCTAATATCCCTTTAAGACAACTGTAATAAACCAAAACTGAACAATTAAAAAAAATGCCTGTTAAAGTACCGTTAAGGGAATAAGTTAAACCTGCAAAATTAAGGAAATTCAAATTTAAAGCTGAAATGTACCATATGTCCTCCAGTGTGCACATATGAGGAGATGGGTTCAAGTAGTTTTTTAAGCAGAGTGCCATGATGGAATAAGGTATTGGAGAACACAGGATTCACACAGCATTGTCTTTGCCTTGGTTTACTTTGGCTTATTTAATGCAACTATGAATATTAATATTTACAGAGATGCCTTCCTTTTATTCCCATGAATAATAAGAGCTATAGAAGCCTAATAAGATTGCAACACACCTCTAAATGTTAAGGACCTTTTTTTGATAGTAAGTTACATGTATAAGTCTATATGGACATATTAAGATGTTTACTGCAGTTTTGAGAGGATATGACAGATGACTTGGAAACTTGGAGAAGTGCAGAAAAAAGCTTTTGTTTTCAATTTCATGTGGGCAGAAGGAACCTGCAGGAAACTTCAGAAGCTATTTGTTCATATTTCCCTCCTGAAAGTGAACATTATTTATTTTGCATCATAAGCGTTAAGTGTGGCTCCTTGCTCTGCCAGGTTAAAAAAAAAGAGAATAGTCCAACCAACTCCCTCGGGTCTAACATGTCTGCCTTCTTTCATAATCCTGCTCATTTTCATCGCAGTAAAAACATTTGAATTGGAAGATGTGGCAGAAAATCTTGGAATGACAAGCAGTATTTGAAGTCTCACATGAAAATACTAAATCATTAGAATAACAAAATATGAGAAAACAAGACTGGAATATACCTTACACATCAAAGGGTAAATTAAAGGGACCACGCATCCTCTAAATATTGACTGATGCTAAGGATCTTTCTGTCTTGCAAAGGGCTTCTCCAAAACTTTATTTTCTTTATGCTTCCTTATTACTCAGTCTTTATTTCATAATTGTTTCACTGAGCACTGACCACTAGATGTTTTCTCTTGGCTTTTTTTTGCTTCTTCCCCCAACAGGCTTTGTCTGCCTATGGTGCTGCTGAGCCAGGCCCATGGGAACTGAAGGCAAACACTCCAGAGGTACTCCTGTTCCCGTTTTTCCTTTTGTCTGCATGTCTGTGGTGCATACCCAGTTCTCCAAGAGCCAGCTAATGCTTTATGTGAAGCTGAGAGAAGAAATCCAGGAGCACTTTAAAGCTGTGTTCTGCTACGGATTTTGAAGGCTCTGCTGCTCACTCCAGCACAGGTGTCTGGCTGGGTGCACACCCCATGTCTATGTTGCCTTCCATGCCAATTGATTTCTCTGCCAGTAGAGACTTGAAGCCATTAAGACTTTTATCCTTCGAGCTGAAGGCCAAATACCATTTTGAAAATACAGTGCGATTGTTTGGACAGAGTTGCAAAAACAGAAATGCTAGGGGTGGAAAAAAGCCATTAAAGCTTAAGCTTCTGATGTAATGATGATGAGACAAAATTCTTTAGAGTAAAGAAAAATTAGTATGGCCTGTGAGTAAGTATGAATGGAAAAAGTAAAAAATCACAAAAACTGGGGTGTGGGGAAAAGAACATTATTATCACATGCTGCTGTGTGGGTAACTGAGGGCTGAACAGTACAGACACACTCCATGGTGACTGCTAGAAAAATAATGATGGACCAGTAAAACTCAAAATTTAGGTAGAAACAAATACAGCAAAAGTAGAGTACCTGGGATCTAGAGCAACAACAAAAAAATCCAAACTAAATATACAACATACATTGAATCCTTCGTAAGTGGAAATGCATTCTATTGTAGGCTGACTCTGGTTTTAGACTTTAGAGAAGGCAAGCACTCATTTATGAAACCACCTTTCTCCTGCCTTCCTGTTTTAGAGCAATTTATTTTCTTTGAAACCATGTGTTTCTTTCCACTGCAGTGGCCTCACATCACATTTATCTTATGTCTGTAAGCTCTCTGGGACCAGGACTCTTGATACTTGTCTCAGAGAGGCTGTCAGCATTTAGGAATGAAAAGTAGTAATGTTAATTGTAATTTTCTACTTGAGTATAACCTGATTTTGTTACATCTTTTAGCAGTAGCCAGTGCACACAGTAAATGAGCTGCATGAAGGATGTGACTGTAAGTCAGTATCATGGCCAGAGTTGTAGAGTAGCAGACAGCCACAACACAGCTCAACCTGCAACTCTGGTGCACCACATCAATAAGGAATCACCAACTAGTGACTCCAGAACTGGAATGTGCTAGTTCAGGTGCCATGCTTCAAAAAGTATTTGCCACATCATCTAATGAACTGCTGGAGTAAACACAACCCAGAAATTTCCTGGAGTGTATCAGAAGAAAAAAGGGGTCCTCAGAGCTTTTGGCAAATCATTGCCTTGGTCTGCCTTGGTTGGGGGTTGAATCCCAGTTTCTACAAAGCACTAAGCAGACTGTGCTGTCCTGCAGTGCTCCTCAAGTTTCATAGTCCATGTGTCTCCACTATGATCTGGCTTACATGACTAAGTAAGTCTTGGCAGACCATTCTTATGTTCAGAAAGGATCCATTCTAAAAAAAAAAAATCAATATCAGGTGAAATAAAACGAAACAAGATCAAGCTAAACTATGCTAACATTTGGTCAGTTAGGAAAGGAATGACAACCAAAAGTATAAATGAACGAATGAATGAATGAATGACGATTTACTTTTTTTTAACTCTCTAAGTACCTTGTAGGCTCAGCCCGTATTTCTCAATCATGCCTGCTCAAAATTAAGACCTCAATCCACAAAAAAGGCACTGAACCTCCAGTAACTGGAGAGGGGAAAAGAAGAAAAGGAAGATGAGAAGAATATGATAGTACCTTTTGAAGTCAAATCACCCGTATACAGCTGTAAGAGTAGACAGGAATTCAGAATCTATACTGGAAAATACTATCCCAGGCTTCTAGCTCTGAATCTTCTATGGCAAAGATTGTGGTGGTGTGACTGAAGGGGCAGTGCTCAAACATGCCTGTGCCACACAGCATGAGCACAAGCTTCTAAAACAAGCCTCTTCAGCATTCTGCCAATATGTCTTCACATCTGCCAAAATACAAGCTGCTTTCACAATCAGAGGGCATTGCTTCACATATGGTTTTGACAGATGAAAATTTTTTTCTCATTTCTTTTTCCTAGGTTTCCCATGCCTGTTGTCCCACAGAGACAAATTTTAGATACTGCTTCCACAGTACCTAATGACTTTTGGCTATGACATAACTTCTGCTCCTTCTTTACTGTGCATCCTTTCTACAACTATCCCTTTAGATCTCAGCGCAGTGCTTCTCATGAAGAAAGTCACCTGCCCTCTGTACTAACAGGCATTAGTCCTGCCCAATCATTGGGCCACTCTTCTAACAGTATCTGGAAGTATGTGGCCATAAATCAGTTCTGGCAGCATGAGAAAGGGCTAGAAAGAAAATAAAAAATTCCCCAATACAGAGAGTAAAGAAATCTAAATTTATGGGACTGTAGAAAGAGCTCAAGGAAAGAGAGAGAGAGGACATTCTTGTGGCTGAACGATAAATAAGTTGAGTCCCTCAAGAATGAAAAGAGTAACACAAAAGAGACTCATAAACCAAAAGATGTAAGAAAAAGAGCAGAGAATGCTAGAAATTATACAGATTTTATCACTGAATTAATGAGATTGGAAATTCCCTTTCTCTGCTGTCTCCTAATCCTTACTGTTTTCAGAGTATAAAATAGCACAATTCAGTACAGATTTTTAAAGTGAAAGTGCTGGCAGACTTTGGATAAAGGAGTTAATAGGACTTAATCTACATTTTCTGCAGAACTCACACAGATGACTGGATTTTAGATTTTTTGCCACGTTCTGTTTATTGATATTTATTTTTAGTTTTGATTTATTTATTTATGTCTATTAATAAATAATTCCATTAATTAAGTTAATTATAATCAAAAAAGCTCACTTTAGAAAGAAAATAAATTCAACCTTGGTTTTGAATTGTCTAGAATTTTTAATGCAGTATGATGCAGCATATCTGGAGCTTTTTAAGTTTCTTTTCTTTCCTTTTTTCTTTTTCTCTTGATTAGCTACTTGCCAAATATTTGTTTGTTTTAAACTAAATAAAATTTTCTACCTCCTCAGCAGGATTCATGTTTATTTATATGGGTAAGGTACAGTAATTGAGAAGTAGCAAGATACACCCATGACAGAGGTCTACTTGAATCTCTAATTTGTGGTAGCTCTAAGAGAGAACAACCAGTATAACTTACAATTGCTGGAAGGTAGTGTTCATCTCTAAGCAGATGGAAGCTAGATATTTTAAAAATAACTGCAAAAATTGACTTAAATATGGCCCTGTCTGAAGCCAAATAAAATTATTCCATTGCCTTCACTGCATTTCAGAGCAGCACAGCAGAGCATGTTATAGCTCTAAATCTTGTGCTTTACAAAATACACCTATCACCCACACTTTGTAGACAGGACACCTGAAATGGAGAAAAGTGAAATGATTTGCTGAAGCTCACTAAGAACAACAGTAGCAGAGACAAAAAACAGGCCATAAAGTTGTCTGTTCACTCCCAGAACTCCCCATTGCTGTAGACTATGCCTGTCTCTGTCAATCTCTACACACTCCTGATTCTGTAGGTGCATTAGGAAAAATGCTGCCAAGTGTGTGACAAATCACCTTTTGCTACAAAGTCCACTAATGGCACTGGGAATAAGACCTATTAATTTTGGTGACCTCTGGACAGAGCACTAATGGAAAACCTGGGAATGAAGATGAAGTATCCTGGTTTGTACCAGCTCATGCAAGAGCCAGAGCACAGCCAGAACAGCCCTGTAGCTACAACCAAATGGAAAGAGTAGGACACAGAAAATCAAAATGTTAAGGTGAGCCACCAAATGGGCTTAGCAACTTTGACAGCAACAGATTTACAGCAGATCCCAGTTTATGCAGTTGTCGATGGGGAACTCAAAAGGGGCAAAGGCCACCCATCCATTTAATAGCCATTCTTCCGTCTGTCCTACTGCTAAAACAGCCAAGAGAGCTACTTAATCCCATATGGGATGAGTATTTCCTTTGCTTCAGGTATTTCAGTTGTTTCATAGAGAACACTGATGAACAAAATAATTAAATAATACATGTTCATTACGAGAGGGCCAGTGCTAAGTGGCATTTTTAAACTGCATCGTGTCTTCAGACTATTTTGCTAAAAATAACTTAAAAATTAACCAAATCACAAACACTGAAGAAATTATAATTCAAGTCAAGTCTTTGGATCCCAGTTTTGAGCTCTGTTGTCTGCATCCTCTGCATAGACAATTACAGCCACTCTGAGAGTTCAGCAATTGGTAAACCACCTGACTCCTTATTTTGTGTATGTCTGGTAGGAGAAATACAGTATAAAAGGCAGGTTCACTCAGTGATGTGTGAAAGAAATAGACTAGTTCTCTTCTACTATTGCATTGTCTGGGACAACCTCTTTTTCTTTAAGTAAGTTCTCTTATCTGTTCACTGTGAAAAACTCAGAGAGTTGCAATTTATAGAACCTGAAAAAATTATTAGTGTGACACCAAAACAGGAATTATTATGAAAACACATATTTGCTTAAAATTAAAAATACTAAGAAACACACATAAGCAAATTTTTGTATTTTTATAAAAAGAAAGAAAACAAAGTCTGAATTCTAGAGTTAGAATCTACGAAAATAAACAGCGATGTATTTCAATACGAAAGTTATCTTTACAGTGCTTACAATTGCTTTCTGCCTCTGTCTCTCCCTTTGCTTGGCCCTTTCAGATTCCCGTTTTTCATACTCTTTGCGGTATTCTTCCCTCTTCAGCCTTTCATGCTGATATTCCTCATAGCTGTCATATCTAGGAAACACAACTTAGTCATCAAATCAAGCACCTACATTTGTGAATGTAAAATTAGAAATACAGGTTCTGGAATACTTTATTATCCCAGGCAATTAGAGAAAGGACAAGAGGAAATGGCCTCAAACTCTACCAGAGGAGGTTCAGGTTGGACATCAGGAAGAATTTATTCGCTGGAAGGGTGGTTGGACAATGGAATGGGCTGCCCAGGGAAGTGATGGAATCACCATCCCTGGAAGTGTTCAAGACATGAGCAGTCATGCTATGGTTCAGGTGACATGGTGGTGTTTAGTCAAAGGTTGGACTCAATGAACTCAGAGGTCTTCTCCAGCCTTAATGATTCTATGATTCTACAATTAATCTCCTGAGGACCAGCTGCAAAGCAAACCAAATGCAGGCCAAAGGCCGTACCTGGGTCTGCGACTGTACGGTGATCTGGACCGCGATCTTCCACCTAAGGGAGAACTTCTGTATGCTCGGTGTCTACAGTGGCTGGACTCACAATAGCAACAAGATCTGCAGGAAGAAACACATTCACCTCTGTCATTTCATTTGAGTCTATTGACACCATTTTCTACCTCTTCCCTGAATTTACAATTTCCTCTAAGCTACCAGTGGGATTTTCCAGTGACAGTCTGCAATCTCCTAGTCAACTAAGGGGCCTCACTGGCCCTGATTCCCCCACTCCTGGCCTTCAGTAATGTTCCTTATTGAGGCTAACACAGAGCAGTCAGCCACTGTCAACTCCATCTGACAGAGGCTGCAGCAAGATTGGCACCGGGCAGCTCACAGATAATGGGGAAGGTTAGTTGTGTACATCTCTCACCAACTGCTCTGCCTCTGACCTGACTGCTCCACTCAGAAAGTGTAAACCCGGCAAATTTAAAGGATACTGGAAACCAGTGTTTCTGTAGCAAACCCGTAACCTTCAGAGTTAATCAGCTCAGAAGCAATAGAATGAGTTGCACTGGATTAAGTTATTTCTTACTTTTTCTTCCTTCTTTCCTGTAAGTTTCTTTATATTTTTGCTAGTCCTCTTATTAACTACAGTGATCATACATGAATTTGCTGTACCATACCTTGAAGAGGATCTACTACAGGGCGACCTTGATCTCGATCGGGAATATGGAGAACGGGAACAAGACCTGCGTTGAGGAAAGGACCTTGATCTAGAGCGTGTCCTTTGGGATCTTTGAGAAAATAAGGATTTGGGTGGAGACACTGAATCTCTGCATGGAGAGTTAAAAGAAGAGCAAGAAGGTGATACATCAAATAATGAATAGGCTTGTGTCCCATCCCAAGGGTAGCATAGTTTATCACTTTCATCTTCACTGTCATCAAACAGACCATCCATTGCTAGTCCTGAATTTATAAACATAGGTAGTTTGGAGAATTGTTCATTACTGTAATCACTGTCCCTTAGTTCTCTGGTCTTATCTGCTTCTTCATCAAAAACAGCTTGGCTGGGGTGACCAAAATGCTTATTCAGTTCAGCCCGAATTTCCTGGTCTTGGAGCTGTTTTCTGTTATTACCATGGGATCCCTGGTTATTTGTCTGTAAAGTATCTTTCTTGAAATACTGGTCTTGTTCTAAAGAACAAATCTGACACTGCCACCCAGGTGAAGAATCCTTAAATTCTGGTTGTCTGGAGTCCTGAAGTTCCTGGGATATTTTAATGTGTATTTCCGATTTCGAATTCACAGATTGACAGTAGTCATGGTCACCAAACAGCCGCAAACTGGGCCGTTTTGTCTTTCTCTCCTCATGTCCACTGGACAGTACTGTAGTCTTGTTAAGCTGTGTGTACAGCTCAGACGGTACTGAACCCTTCTTGATTGGGTTATTTCCTTGAGAACTGGAAGACTCACTATAGCGGGGCTTTTTTGAAGGTGGTACAACAGTCTTGCATGATGACTTCAATTTAGGTGAAGTCCTAAAAGGATTATCTTGGTTGGCTTTATGAGGAGGGGTCGTAGGTGGAGTTAGGCCTACAGGGATTAAAAGGAGGTACAGAATGCTTTTAAGCACACATACAATGTTTATAAAGGTGGCTCATATGCTTCTTAAAATAGATACAAAGCAAGTCCCATTTATGTCACTTAAACACTGCTAATACTGAGAATAAAACTACCAAAGGTCTGGTAACAACAAAAGCAACAATACTAATTCATCACCATCAATATCCAGTATAATTTCTGCCCCTCCCCTTCCTCCATGACATCCGCCCCTCTCTCTGTAGATTTTGATAGAAAAGATCAAGAGATAAAACCCCAAAGACGTTTTTGTTAAATATAAAATAGATTTTGATGTAAAAATGAGAAGTCAAAAGACTGGCACCATCAAAAACATAAAGAACCTAGCAAAGAAGAACCTGGATAAAAGCAAGGCCAAGAGAAAGAAATGAGTGGTACCAAAGGATGTAGAATTTAAATACAATGAAATACAGCCCCCCTAACTCACTGGCAATGACTCTTTGTTTCCAGAGTTCATTAACTTAGAAAACCATTGAGAATATATGTCTAAGACACTCCTTAAGTATAACTAATACATTTTGCCTGAAATGTGGTTTTGCAACTGAAACCCCAATGAACAATAGGACAACCACAACTGTAATGAACCATTGCATTTAGAACAAAATCTTGGTGAGAACTGTGCAGTAGGGACTAAAAATGAAACAGGTAAGTACTAGTATTAGTCATTAGGTTAGTATTAGTATTGGGTTTGTATTCAGTGGCTAAATATACTGCTAACAGGATTATTTACATAACTGCAATAGATTATATTACTGTGATGAGACAAAAATTGCAGGAAGGACTAGAACACATTCTACTAAAGCCTGGGAACTGAAGCAGTATCTTCCCATCATTTTTTATAAGGGTAGAATACAACTTTCAATATTTTCTATAGAAATCATAGAATTTCTTCAGACTTTACAGAAGGATAACCCCAGACATCAGTGCAGAGTAACAGCAAACAGCAGACACTGTTCAGGAAATAATTTCTCTTCAGGAAGGTACTTAGTATGTTATGTTTGAAAGATTTTCTTCTGTCCAATTGACACTAATATAATTTACTAATAAATGCTTAAAATTCAACAAAATAGACAGAGATTAGGGAGTTCTCCAAGGTAATCCAGACCATCCCTAAGCAATCCAGAGGCTCATGCTGTTCAAGAATACTTGTAGCAATAAGCTTTCCATTAGTTCCTTAGCAAGAATGAAAAGAGAGGGTAGAGAGAGTTACAGGAAATGTGTGCTTCAAACACGGCTATAGAGCTCTGGTTTGTATTTTTAAACATGCACCACAGCTTGGCAGATCAATGCAAATGGAACATGTTTTATAGTGTTTTGCTGTAAAGAAGGAAAAGCGTCCATCAATGCACAGTACTCCCTAAGGAGCATAAATGGGGACTGGGAGTCCCACTGCATTATCTGCAATGAATTTCCTTCAGAAAATAAGAAAATAGAAGCACTAAGGCATGAATACTTGATGTGAGAGACATGCTTGATTTTGTCTGAATGTTTGGAATAAATGCTTATGAACTACTCATGGCTATGTGAAGACTCTGCCTAATTGCCACAACATTCAAGGAAACTGAGGCAAAGATTATGGCACCTAAAACTCTAGTTATCCCAAATTTGAATTTAATACTAAAAAAATTCTGTGCAGTCATCACTGTTAAATGATTTCCTCTACATCCTCAGTTTTTTTTCTTTCTTCTTCCCAAAAATTCACTTGAGACAACTCTAACAATTTCATACCTTATGCACCTCCTCACTGACAAATATTTTTTACTACCAAGTGAATTTTTGCTGAAATGAAGAGGACAGTCCTATTCAAAAACCTCCAGTAATACTTTCAAAGTTAAAACTTCAGGCTCAGATTGAACAAATACTTCAGTAAACAACTTTCTAGAAAAAAAATGTAGAAATGACACTTTTTACTTGTGAAATTATACAGCCCATGAGAAATTATGGGATTAGTTACTGAGTTTTTGGATGAAGTTTTAAAGAAAGAATGAAGCAAAAATACAAACACTCCACAATGAACATGTATATTTAAGAATTTCAGGCAAAGAAGCCCCAGAGATAATCCAATATTCAAAATAAAATCTTATTTCAAATTCCACTTCTTTATAGCTTGTCCTGGAAGGAAGCAAGTAAAACATACAGTATAACATATCCAGAAACCTGACAAGGAGCCCAATAATCTTCAGAAAAGTGGGGGTGGGGGGGAAGTACCAAAAAAACCCCTCACGAAAGTACAGACTGAGCTAAATTTACTGGCACTTCCCTTGCTGGCAGAACAGGGCTGGGACAGCCTAAGAAAGGGCTTCCTCATGGCATTCTGGCTTTTTTCCTGGTTTTTAGTAGAAGCAGGAAGTGTACCAGTGAGTAGAAATAGATAAAAGTTGGAAAATGTTCATTTAACTGTTGAACAAAAATACACTGGGGGATGGAGGCAGGAGCAAAGTTTTGAATTCACATCACCACTACGGAGTCCACCTCCAGAGTGTCCCATGACCAATCTCCAAGCCATGAATTCTGAGAAAACCACTTGGCTGCACACTTGTTCATCTTCACTCTAATCCCTGGTAATCTTCACCAAGGGCCATGATCCCACATCAACGGCATTACAATATTCTATAACCACTGGATTATTTCACACGCACTGATTTCTCCCCAATGTGTACATTTAGGCGTTGACAGTACAAGGTATATTCTGTACTCTCTCTTGAACTTAGCAGGTTTTGACAGATTTATGGAAGGACAGATGGCCATTACAGGCTGAAGGCTGACAAGAGGCAGTTCAGAGCATTGTTAACACACTTGCACAAACTCTCAGCAGTGCAGCGCTGTGCAGAATGTAATTCAGACTATAGCTTTTTTATTGCTGCCTATTTTCTTTTGTCAAAAGAGCCTGCTGTGCACAGCAACAAATGGCTGCCATTACCCAGAATGTAATGGGTGTCAGACAAATCACGTAACACAAACAATCAAGAGTATGTAGGTCATATTTCAACAGAGCACAACCTTAGCAATATTTATGATTACTGCATTGAAATGTGCTCTATAATAAACAAGTACCTCTACATCACTCACACTTATGTACTTCTGCACAGCAAATCTGTTAGAAGTGGTACATACTCTAAAATCATCCCCCTTAAACAGTCTTTTTTCTTTTTAAAGTAAAAGGCAAGTATTTTTTCATGACATGCTATAAAACCATTTTCTTTGTAGGGACTTTTCCTTAATTGAATAGCTTTGGTAAATGGTACGTTTGCACTTTGCATTGCTCAGTCTATATACTACAAACTCACTCAGTGATCTTGTGCTAGAAAACAGCACACATCAAATTGCCAAAGCAGCACCATCCTTCCTGTGTCTGTGCAACAAAAGGTGTTTGCATATGTGCCAAATCTGACACCTTGGCCAAGCAACTTCTCCCCAGAAAGTCTCTGGGAGGGTGAAACTACTTTCAATACATTCCAAAACTCTACTTAAAAAAAAAAAAATTGCAGTGTAACTCACTTAGCTCAGCCAGGTTGATAAGCAGAAATTAGGGGAGTGTCTTTGCATTAAAAGTGATATATGGACTTCTTAGGACTGATTTTCAATGCTGTTTTATGTAGAGACATATTTCTAAATCTCTACAGTAACTCAGCATTCAAATGTTTGATGGTGCTTGCTGTGTTTTGAGGGGCCTGGTAATTACTGTCTTTTGGCAAATGCAGCCATGGAACCTTTCTACATGTACACTGGGCTTTTGAGAGGCATTGCAAATGTATTCTTTCATACCTTTTGATTTTGAAAATGGATTGTCAAGGGAAACATCATTTAAGGCCACTTTAAACACTGACCACAAGATAACAGCTCAATTCAGTATGTATGGCACTAGATTGCAGAAGCTAGGAAAATATAATAAAATTAAATAGTCACCATACAATAAAAAACTACATGCTTGTTGAATATTCAGTTTAATCCTGTTGTCAGTGCTGGAGAGAATAAACACAGATGCCTGAAAACATCAAATAATCCACTAGATCTTGTTCCCTCTGGACAACTCTCTCCATCTCACATCTCAATTTATCAGAAATCATTCTGAGGTCAAAGAAGTTCTTAGATGACAGATTTTAAGTATTTGTTCTGACAACTAAGAGGTAACACAAATCTAGAGGTGGGCAAATAGCAGGGTATCAGTATCCTCAATGATAGTCACAAATTCCAAATCACTCTTCAAGCTGATTGTGTACATCAGCTTTTCTGATGGCAAAAATATAGCTTTTTCTGCCATCTTTTCAGAAAAATCAAATTTTTCTGCCAAGACCAGTGAGGAGTTTTACACTACAACAAATTGCAGGGATCTATATCAAATGAGAGACTTTTCACCAAGAGGGTGGAAATAGTCTTCTAGTTACTGATTGAGCCTTAAGCACATAAAGCCATCATTTAAGTACCTGAAGTTGGTTTGAGTATTTAGGTGCGAAGGCTTAAGAAGACACAGAGAACAGAGACAGATTAATTAGAAGCCATGCTATCTAACATCTGGCATTCAGAAGTTTGTCTAAGACAATCAAAAGTCTAAAACAATGACTGAGAAGCCCTTGACTGCCAAGAGAAACACTGCCTCCTTCAGAAGGTGACTCATCCTCCTACAGTCCCTGTGCTTGCACAGTCCCATCCGTCCCCCCCCTATTCTGACTGCTAACAAAGAGGAAAGAGGTAACACAGAACCATCCCAGATTTCTGGAAGACACTGGAGAAGTTCAAGCCCGTGGCCTCTTTAGCAAGGCACTGGCAGTGCAGCTGGCTGTGGAAACAAAGAGAGATGGACCTCTTCTGAGCCTCTTACTCAGAAGACTCATCTGACACAGGAATTTAATTCACTAAATTATCATCACCTAGGAATCCCTCCATATCATCATGTTCAGGCCAGGCTTCCTTAGAGTAATGCTAGAATAATCAGCTTCAAGAGATAGAACTTTAGATAGCAATCCACTTAGGACACTCATTTAAAGTGTATTGAAAGAATTCTTATATGTGGAAACACTTCAAAGAGTATTTCCTCCTTATAATTTGACAAATCAGTGTTTTGACAGTTTTAGGAAGGACAAAGTTACACTCATGACTACAAACAGATCTGTTGTAAAGCAAGATATAGCATTGGCAAGAGAATGGTTTCCGTTTAACTTTAGATACATGAATCCAAAATGTGTGTGTGACGAAGATTGATGGCTCATGTGGGAATTGTTTTTATATACTTATTTTTCTGGTCTATAGTTAATTCATCAGTGAAGGAGGCAATGTTGTTTTCAGCAGAGAGATCAAGGGAGTTGCTATTTATATTAAAATACTTTGTGTTTCGATAGTGCAAGCAGCACTGCTAATGGTCTTTTCAATTCGGTAGTGAGATCAAGGTAACTCCTATTTAAATTATTATAAATAGTGTTTGTACAGTGCAAGCTGCCCTATATAAGGACAATGAGCAATGCGGTTATCTGGATATAATTTGGAGTTGCCAGGGTCTCACTAAAGAACTTCAGGGTATTATTCATCAGTACTGCCACTACTTTTTCCTTATTTTATTTTTGGTTGTTTTTTAAACTGAAGTGGGTCCCAATTCTGCCATGATTTACACACACACACATATGCTGTAAGTTCTTCAGTACTCCAGGCTGTTGCTATTATGTACTTTGCTTCCAGCACAAGCAGACTCAGGACACAACATTACTGCAGTACAAATGACTTAAAAAATAAGACATGCATCTTTTTATAGATTTACATACATGCATGAATATAAAAATAAAAATCATGTGAATATGCAGGCAGAGAATAATAGAGCTATCACATGACCTCCTGAAACCTCCTCACCAGGCACTGTGAACACCAGAGCAAGTGCAACATTAAGTCCAAGAGCCACCATTATGTACACTGCTTGGTAACACTACCCAGCTCCCTGGCCACACAACACTCCAATTCTTATTCTTCCTGAATATCATCAGCTTATTCCCTAGCTAACTTCTATTTATTTCCAGAGGGCAAAAGAAACCATAGAATCATAGTACAGCGTTCCTGTTTACATATGTGCTCAGTCGTGCTGTTTCCCAGCTCCTGTTACTTTTTTTTAATGCACCAGCTCTCCTGGCTATGTTGTCCAAGCAACTACAGAGTAGTTTTGTTTCCTCCTCTGTGCACAGCTGATGGAGTGGAATGAATTTGGTAATACCGAGACCATTCCTGTTGCCACCATGGACGCAATACTAGAAAGACTATCCAGGGGTCAGACTGACTCCCAATTTCTGTCTAGTCAGCTGATGGGAAAAACAGGCTGCTGACTTTTTGGCTGGGAGAAAACACTGCTTCCTTCAGTGATTTCAACGGCTGCTTGTACCACTCTGCTGTAGTCACCTCATCTGCCCCTTTCTGTTGGCAGCACTAAGCACTGACTTATCCATGTGCTTACAAATGGGCACCCTTGTGCAGACTTGCTGTCCAGTAGTGACGGAAGAGGCTTCTCCATGCTTCACTTCACTCCTCTTATTGGCACTGAACAGGATTATCCTCCTGCATACAGTGAGTTTTGCCATGTTTACGTTGGTCTTGCAAAATGAAGATGCATAGAAAGAATGCTTCCTTTTGTCATGAGAGTAATGATTAAGACTGCAGGCATTCAGGAGACAACAGGGAAAACTGTTCATGTTTTAATGCTGAACTAATGAAAAAGTTTCTGAAAAAGTAAAATCATGGTTGTAGGAGGGTGAAAGCCCAGTATACCTACCCAAACCCAGCTTGGGCCTGCTGCCACTGGATTCAGGAGCACCAAGCTAATTTGTGGTACCTGAAGACATATTTTGCAATACACCCCTCACCCTCAGTGCTAGAGATCACATATTTTACAATCTACTGCTATCCTGAGAAGAACACATGCCAAGTACATCTCTTATTTTTCAATATTACACAACTGAGAAAGAAAATGGGCTTGGCAATAGCTCAGGTGGAGCTCAATGTGTCCTTTTGTGCGTGGCTGTGGACACTTCAAGAAAAGAGAGGCAAAACAGAGTGCAGAAGAAAGCCATAAAACAGATCTGAGACTGAAGGAATTGACTTCAGCAGAAAGAAGAGCATATGAATTAAATGACTGATTAAATGGGTGGTGCGTGAACTAAACCACTACATGATAAAAAATCCCACAAATCTTCAAAAGGTACAAATCCAGGGATCAGAAAGGAGGAGGAAGATAAAGGGAGGTTGTGTGAAGTGTGTTAATGGAAGAAAAAGCAAAAGCAGGAATATAAAATGAATACCACTTTTTAAAATCACCTCTAAGCTATGGAACGGTTGCTCAGTGTTAGAGGAGAAAGCTGTTATTTGTGACATATTAATCTAGAATTGACAAAGCACTGAAACATGCAGTCATGTACAGCCCTAGACCAGCTTGGAGACAGACTGAATGACATAACTTTTACATCTGTAACATCTATTACACTGTGCTCCGGGTTTTGTCTTTGAAAGATGGCGCCCAGCAGTACACAAATCTATGGGGAAATGGAGAAATATAACAGATAAATGGTTTCATTCATATTTTCTCAGAAATTATGCTCTCCTGTGTAGGTTTGGAGCCGTATTTTCAAACACATTGCTTCTCAGGTAGCTGGATAAAAAGTAACGCTAAAGTGCACTGAAGTGAATCTGCTGGAGACTTCTGTGAGATCTCAGCATACCTGTGGTATATTAAAGTAAACAAACACACACAAGCCATGCTTAAAGGAAGAGCCATCATTCTGCATTTCTCACCTGCAGTTCCAGAGAGTTCCACACTTAAGGTTTGTTCAATAGTCTTGTTCTCAAATGGGGAACCCTTGGGATCACTGGAAGACAGGGCACATTTATAAAAACAAGCTGAAATGGAGTTGCTGTAGCCAAAATCTACTGAACCCCCCTCCCTTTTATAAATGTTTGCACTTTTTAGTACTTACTTTGGTGACTCGGGTGTCAATGGAAGTGATAAACTTGTTGGTTTGGCTAAAGTAAAAAAAGAAAACAATTATGCAATATTTAAACACTGTACAGTATGCTGTAAACATTTCTTTATACTTAGGCATTGGAATCCTGTGGTAGTCATTTAGGGCCAAGCTCTGATAGTTCAATCGCTATTTCAGTGTATCTCAGATAAATAGGGACTCATCCTGATTCCTAATTTACTAGTACCAAAAGGGTATCTAAACTTCAACAATTATTTACATCAATTACCCTACCTCTGAAATACAGTACACAACCCAAATTACAAGACCCTTTCAGAAGAAGAGTGGCACATGTTAAAAATCAATGAAGAACTCTACAGGATATACTGTGAAAATGTTATTTCTCCCAGTGTTAATTCAGACTACAGTTCACGTTTTATTTGGAAACAGGAGCAGCAGAATAACTACAAAGTAACAGAACGTTATGAATATTCAGTTAATTTTACTTCTACAAGATACAATTTTATATATAGCACTGAGAATAGGTTGTTTCTATGAGGCCAGAGTCCAACCAGTTATAGTCCAAATTTTTGCAAATTAGCCTGCAAACTATGACAAACCATGGACATAGTCACAGATGGTTAAAATGGGGTTGAAGCTCTCAGCACTACAATCCCAACATAAGCAAAAAACAAAGCTCTGGCTGTCAAAATGTAAGTCTTTGCAGCTTTTACTCATGCAAAATTCTATTTTCTCAGAGCAAGTAAAGAACCAGGATATTGTAATACAATTAAGATTCCTTTAAAATTAAAAATTACAGTACTTGCAAATTTTACTTTTCAGAAGTTAGATTGATGTTTTAAACACAGAGAGCATTGTAGCAAGAACAACAGCAGGGGATCTCTTCTGCAGATTAATTACTTAAGACAAAATGTTCCCCTTGAACACTCCTGCACTGCAGATCTTTTGTCCAGAGTGTCACTACTGCATATTTCATATTCATTACAGGCTTGGAGCTCCCATCAACATTAAGGGATTTTATATGCAAATTGATTACTTTTATATGCTCTAGAGCATTCTTGAAGTAATATAATGTTTTTAAAAAAATTAACTCAATTATCAAGAGCTGCACATTGTTTCTTCTCCTCCCCATATGAAAGTTAGGAATGGAAGCTCAGGTGTTCACCTTCTTCCTCAGAAGTCACTGCTGGAGTGAGGAGATGCAACTCAGTATGTTATTTGTCTGGTCCAGCACAGCCACTGATTTGTGCATTACACCAGGTGCAGTAAAACTGAATGGAACCTGACACATCTTTGTGTCTAATTTATATACATCTAGGAATACTAATGTTTGCCTGTGGCTACCTAGAGGTAAAACTGGCTTAAAAAAACCCAGATCTTGCAGTAAGGCTCTGGAATGAAGTTTTATACAAATGTTTCTTTTTTCTTTTTTTTTTTTTTAAATAAAAATCTGCACACTCTTAACCAATTTAGGCTAAGGAAGCTGAATGTGTAAAAGATATTTACGTCTCTAAAAACTGTCCTTCTAGCTCTTATTAGTCCCATAAATTAGTCCCACATCAGAATATACACATATTCAATTCTGAAGCACTGAGGCACAGTGCAAATCTGCCAGAGATGGGCACAGAATCAAGGCATTATCTCACACTCCCATGTATTAATTTTAGGCAGATATCACTGATCTCTCCCACTGAGAAGTTCGCATACCAAAACACCCATCAGTTTTCTTATTCCTAGGCAAGAGCTTGACCAAACACTCTTTCTGCAAAGGATTCATACTCACATACAGCTATTGATAGTGTAAATATTTAGCCAAGGCACTGTCATTTTCCATGGTGCCTGTTTATTAGAGTTTCAAGGTCTACTGTGGTCTGTTTTTTTCTTATTAAAAAGAGTTCACATCAAGTTGCTTGTCCCTGTAAATTGAAAACATTCAGGTTCAAAACAACTATGTTTCCTCATGGGCAAATTTCAGTGCAAAACCACAGATGATCTTTGGCATGAATGCGTTTGTGGACATTCCCGTGGGTTTGCAATATGTTTGCAACAGTAACCCTAAAGGAAAATAACATTCCACTGACCCTTTGTGAGTTTTCCCTAACTTTGAAAGAAAATCTCAGACTGTGACAGTTTTTTTAAAACAAAAGGAGTCAATTTTCTTGGCTTTTGATTAAATGTATGAACCAACGACTGCAGGTCTGCAAATATCAGTTAAATTTGCCAGGTTGATTCTGCATGAATTGACTGTCCAAGTTGAAAGCATTATATTCTTGTATTTGTACTATATGCAAATCCATTCATATTGAAGCTATATATTGGCGTATGAGGCAAATTTGCTGAAAAAACAACATTTCACAAGCCTTTAAATTAAGGCACAGGAAAATTAAAGAACAAGGTAATTTCCCTCTGCCTGCAAATTCACCTGTAAGACCACTAAAATCACAGTTGTTAGCTCTGTGTCCCTCTGGACTTTCGTAACCTCTCCTCCGTGCTGTTTCCAGAACCCAGCGTGCTCTGACTCTTCAAACTGAATCTACACAATTGCTCAGCTGGGGAAAAAAAAGCAGCTCCGATCTGAATAGAAAGACATTATAATCTGCATATATGTTTGTGTGCACATACGTCTATGTATGGGTATACTACACATGTTCATATGGCATGTTGTACACGATACACCTCATCACCTACCACCTTAACATCCAACAGTGTTACTGTAACTTCTGGCAGTTCTGTTTTTCTGTACCATTGAGGTAACAGACCCAGGTTTCACATGTAGAGCACAGTCTGGATTCTGCTGTGAAAGCAGACTGCTGAAGTCACCCAGGAGGAGTGGCAGTTGGCATAAGGAAGCTTTAGGGGCAGTTGGATTTCCTTCTTATGAGAAGTATTGCTCAGATAATTTGAGACTGCAGTGGAGAAAACCCATACTTAGAATGTCAGAATGTGCAGCTGCAAGAACAATATTAAGTGACAGGAAGGGAAGATTATTTTTATTACATTTGCTTATACTTCCTAGTGCAGAATGAGAAAACAGATTTGATGGAGGCTGAAATGCAAGAAAAAAGGAGAGGAAAAGAAGAAATAACATACAGCTTACATCTCTTGCTTTGAAAATACCAAACAAGACATTTAGGGTCACATCCTGATCTCTGTTGCAGACAGGGAACTCCCATTGACTTTAGTGGAGTCATCCAGGATTTGCACTGATGTGTCTGAGACAGGCACGTAGCCTTCCAAATCCCAGGTCAACATAAATACATAGATGTATTTTAAAGCAGCAATAACTTTAAAAAGCTCCCTTTGGGTTCGTAAGCTTTTACAGCTTTCCTTTATCTTGGGAAAACAGACACAGGAAGAGAGGGAGAAAAAGTGAGAGAGAGGGCTTTAAGTTCTGGCATCTCTGTCACAGAAGCTACTTGTAATAGAGACCAGTTTTTTACACATCAGGGACACTAAAAGTCAAAACAAGTGTTAAGTTTTGACCATAAAGAATCCAAAAACGAGAGAGAAAGCCCAGGATGGCATCTAAACTTTCAACTATTTACAAAATAAAATTACAAACCAGCATTCCAGCTTTAACAGGAATGACACATTTATTGTTTTCTCTGTAGCAGTGAGAGCACTATTTATTGTCTCTTAAGGGCTATGTGGCAGGTTAACAATGCCTTCAGTTTTACTCCAGCAAAAGAGAAAGCAGCTCACTAATGAACTGGCCTGCCGAGCTTGTTTAGCGGTATAATGATTTCTTGGTGGTACAGTTCTCTGTGAATAAGTATCTCCAGCTAGCTTGGTACATTACCATACGGTATTTGTTAAACTTTTCCTGAGATCCTTTTCTGAGGCTCGGGGCAATAAATAAAAGGATCAAATATGTCTAAAAGCTAAATCTAGCTAACTAATTCCAACTTCATTATACTGTTTTAAAATTCTCTTTACACAGAAGAGATGCTGGATTTCCAATACTAATCCAAAGAAGAGGAGTATTGAGGGCATTCCCAAACATGGTACTTCAGCTTCCCAGCCTTACTGCTGGTACCAAAGCTGTATTCTGCAGTCCCACACCTACCCTGCAGATGATTTGTCTGAGACTGCAGATGGGGCTTCCTTTTGGAGGTGCATTTCTCTTTGCTGCTGTTCCTGTTCTCTGCTGGTTTGGTCTGAGGAGGATCATCATTCGTAGTCAGATATTTGAGAAGTTCAGAGCAGGGACGTCTTTGAGGCTTTTGCTGTTGACAAATGCTCTTCGCTTTATTGCTCCATGAATTCTCAGTCTTAAAACAGGGTAGAATAAAATAAAATAAAATAATAAAATAAAATAAAGCTAAAATTAGTGAGCTGAACCTTATCAGAATGGATATAGGTTTTCTGAAGAGATGAGATTTTCAATGAAGTGTTCAGTCTAAGTGTACTAGATCTATGAGCTGTGAATAACTGTTTGCAGAACAAGGAAAGAAAATTACATTTAAAATTCCTAAATGACATTTATGCAGCTTTTTATTTCATTTCTCCTACATTGCAATGTTCCTACTCAGCAACATGTAACTAACAAGACCCTACAGCGCCTTTACTGTGAACAAAAAAATAAGCTGGTTTAAACCTTAATTTGCTGCTGATTGCTTGGGCCTAGTATTCACAACTCTCTTAAGTACCCCTAAATGGCCTGTTTTCAGTTACACTGAATGGCAAGACAAACATAGTTTAATACTGCCTGCTAACAGAATTATGTCTAAGCCCCCCATTCCATCCAATCAATGTCTAATATACATCTTTTGCCAAGAATCCAGTGTCATTTGTCTTAGCTCAGACAACTGGGAAAATGGCAGTCCCACATCCTGGAGTCACTCATAAACAACACCAGACCATCAGCAAATTTTTTTACACCCCGTCCTACTCTGTGTATCAGTAAAGTAGGTAAGAGTAACAGACAGTGTGACTACAACTGAACTCTGCCAAGAGAAAAGGCACAAATGAAATATTCAGAGCATAAAAGAGCTCAGATGATTCTCAGATGAACCCAGTCTATAACTCACATTTTTTAAAAATTACTTGCAAGATAGTAAGCATATTAATAAAATACATTCAGATCTACTGCTTGTTTGATCACTAAAAGCATAAAAGACCTTGTTACACCCTCTTTTTTTTCCTTATTATAAAGATTAAGTTTGTACCTTAACAACCACAGGGCTTGTTCTGATCCTGTGATTAGTGTTTGCATGGTTTTGTGTGCTGAGACCACTGCATTCATTGTAATTTAGCTGAGTGTTGGCTGGAGCCAGCAAGAGCTTCTTAAGCTACAAACACATCAGGGAAAGGGAAGTGGAAGGAAAAAAGTAAAGTTACACATCTATGGATTAAAATTACTTATCAACATTTTTGCATAGTATTGATTTCAGCAAGCAAAGTACAATAAAACAAAAAGCAGGACTTGATATTCCTCAGAGTAAAGAGATTTCATTTTCTTCTGTCTTGGCAGCACATTTCTGCTCCCTTTACTGCAGTATACTGCAGGACAAGCAGAAATAACAGGAATCTCAGATTTCTGAAACCATGGCAAAATGAAATTCTCAGTGATCTGTATGACATGAAGAGGCCTCTGATCTACACATAGACATTAACTTTAACAGACTAACAGATACAGCGTCAAGATTCAGGCACCTGGCTCTGTTCCCACTGAAACCAGTGATAAGAGGCTTTCAGCAGAAACAGAATCACATCACAGACTAGATTTACTGAACAAAATGCATATAATGTTTCACCCACATCCTCATCCAAGGTTCAGTTTTGCCCTGGTTAGCACTAAGCTGGTGCTTACTGGTCAAATCAATGTTAAAGACATAAAATCAGCCCTGCATCCCAACAGACTCACTGGGCCTTTCTTCACAGATCACCAAAAATGGTATCTAAACATACACAACAAAAAGAGCCCCGAGAAATGAAATATGAATTAAGAACCATTACCCCGACTTATCTGAATAGAATGATAAGCAAAAGTGTCAGCCCCATTAGTGTAAAACGTTCAAAAACAACCTTTTCAACAACTTTTTAATAGACTGCCATATTAATCATCCTATGGCTATTTGGTGGGGGGTTTTCCCCCGCTTAATTTTCTGTTCTTTACTTGATTTTCCTCTCCAGTCTAAATGAAAAGTCCAGACCTTACTGTGACTACATCATACCCATGCAGCGGGTAGCCAGAGGCACATCCAATTCCTGTTAAACAGTAGGAAGGGTTCTTACTAGAGACGGCTCTTCTGCCTCCTGAGTTGGAGGGGTGCCGTCGGGCATTGGGGAGGGACTAGCGGCATTTTCGTTGGTCACATCTCCATCTGTCAGTGCATCAAATGAAGGCAATCCATCCTCATCCACAGGGATGCTGTCCAATGTTTCAGTGAGAACAGCTAGCAAGTTTGCCTCGTTCTCTTCATCTATCTTCTGTGGGAGAGGACAAAACAAAAAGAGGAACCAGGTGAGAAAAGGAACAAAACGATGCCTCTGTATGTGAACAAGCAGACAGCAGGTAGTAAAACCGACCCTTGAAACAGTAACCTGCAACAGAATCTCAGACAATGTAACCAGGTACAATAAAATGGTCCATCTCTGTTCAAAAGAAATCTCTTTGCACTCGTAGTGTATTGCTGGTTTACCTTGCTTCCACAATTCTTTTTTTTTTTAATCAGGTATTAACAATGGTAAGTAATCATCCAGGGGATTGTATTACAGGATGAGCCTAAAATGCTGACACCTAATGATGGCGTCAGCCCAGACTGTCTCTTTCTTCTGCTCTTCAACACTGAAGACCAGCTAATTGACCTGACAAAATTACAAGAATCAGACAGCTAATCAGGACACCAAAATGAATCACAGTAAAATACAGAAAACCTCATTCACATATATGGTCCAGTGTAAGAGAGTGTTTCCCTTCCACACTTCTGCAAATCCTTACTGCAAAACCAAATGAACCGCTTCTCATTCCTGAGTATTCTGGTGTAAGAATAGCCAGCAGCACTCACATGGTAAATGACAGGTTGTTTTGGGCTTCTTTTAAAGAAACGTATTAGGCAGGTTGCCTCTGAAGTTGTCCTTTCGAGTTATGTCATTTGAGTGCTCAATGCACTATTGTATGCATTTATCAAATTCCAACTGCAATTATAAAAAGTAGATTAATTTCTAATCAGAAGTGGCTGCAATGTTAATTTATATCTTATTTCAGCAACAAGAGTTCTTTTGTCAAATTGAGCAAATTTAAGTGCCTCCTGATTTTTTAATGAAATATAGTCCCTACTGTATATTAAGATACAGATATTTTGAGTGCTGAGAGTTAGAACTGAGAAATAGAACTGTGTAAAAATCATTATATTTATTTTTCAGAAAGATTGGAAATTGATCTTGACAGATCAATTATCTAGGACTCCTAGGCTGATCCTAGCGCCATCGAAGTAAATGAAAAGCCTTTCACTGATTCAAGTGATATCAAATCGGGAGTTTTTCCACCTTCCACCAGCTTCAGAGTAGCTCATCATGCTCCACGTTCCCACTGTGAAAAAATTTCAGCTAAGTTCAAATCTTAAAGTGTAAAAGTGAACTAGCAAGACAAATAAACAATAAAAAAAAAAATTAAAAAAGGCAACAGCAAAACATTGCCAAGTTACACTTTGGAAAAAAAAATAATCAAGTGGATCTGGGCATCCCCTTAGCATGACTTTTTCAGTAATACTTTTATCTAGCAGACTCTGTACAGAGATGATCATAAACCAGACAGATAATTGCTCCAGCTAGGCTTCTTTGCCAAATCACACCTCACGGCTTCTAACATAAAAGCTGCCTTTGAGCTAGAAAGCTAAGACAGAGCACAAACTGTTCTGGTGCTTACAGCATCATCTCCAAGAAACAAGTAAATACTCAGGCAAACTAAGGTAAGGAGAAGCATTTATTTAAAAGGCCTAAAGGCACTTGGCCACTGAGAAAAAGTATCCAAATTTTGGTATCAGGTGATTTCCATCATACTAAGCAGACATATGCATACAGCTCTAATAATTCAGTGTGTAGAGGATGGAAAGGCAGAAAGGTGACAAATAAAATGACGCTTCAAATCCATCTTCTCACAGCCACTTTCTGAGAGGAAAAGAGGAAAATTATGGTGTCACTTCTAGAATAGCAAGAATAGGCATTATTGGGCAGGAAAGTGTGACCAGCGTTTTTTTCCCAATGGCATTTCAAGTCCCTCACAGGTGGTGTGATGAATGGTGTGAGAGCCAGCCCTCAAGCCTAGGGTGTCCATGAGCTGGTTTGGCTGCCTGACCCCCAGCCTTACACGAGGAACTTTTTCAGCAAGTCCAGCTGGTGGGGCACACTGCTGAGCTTTGCATCTCATAAAGCTGACAACAAAGCTGGAAGTGTTGCTATTTCTAACAGGGAATGCCTTCTTTAATAATAACATGCTAGAAAAAAACCTGATATTTGCTGTTAGCTACTCAACTCTCATGCTTTAAACAGACATTCAAGTGCGCTGACATTCAAGAACAGAAAGTTGAGCAGACACCAGTCCTCATCACAGCAATTTCAATTAGTTTTGTACAAGTTTCAACATTCAAACACCCCAGAGAAAGCAGAGGATGTGACAAAGAGGACTCTGTTAAACAATTAATGTCACTTTCCATTATTGCTTCAGTCCCAATTTACAGAGCAAATAAATCAAAGTCACACAGATGAAGCACACTAGCTGGCTAACACATGTCTATTCACAAACGACATGGCAGCAGGAACACATTAGTCAAGAAAATGACATTGCTAGATAACCTTTTAAAGGTTTAACTATGCTATTGCTCCTAATTGTCCTAAATTACTGTTTATAAAGAAACACAATTATTAGATACAGCAGAAATGTGGTTGAGGAGAGATGCAGGGGGAGAGATGGTTGGGTACATCAACGTCTAAGCAATAATCACTGAAGCAGCAGCATTCTCCTTTGCTATTGCAGCCTGAGTCTTGGTGTTGACAGCACTGGGGAGAAGCAACGCCATGGCCAAATGCAAGCTCTTTCACAGTTTCAGCACTGTCACTGCAGAAGTTCACATTCCAGACTGGCATCCAACCTGCTCATCACACAGGCTCAGAGGGACAGGAGGAGCTGAGCACCTTCTACCTCTGCTGAGGCCTGAGAATGCACCGTGTGCTCTCTGGAACTGATTCTACCATGTCCCTACCTTCATGCAGGATCCCACAAGAAGGATTTGCTTCTCTTTTTAGGAGCAGATCCAAGGTATTTAGACTACCTAAATGAACTACAGTGTGTAAGAAAAAGGACCAGAGGATAATCTCAAATGCAAAGCTGCATGGCAAATATATGCAATTATTAAACTTTTATGAAAACAATTCATAATGACTGCATACTAACTTGCCTTTTTAATGCAGAAGCAGTTATGCATCACTTCCAAATCACACCATTATGTTAGCATAAAGACATTGGGGCCAGAGATGTTTTGATCCCTGTAAATTTTCACCCAAATGAGGAAGGCTAGGAACACAAGTATGACACTGAATGCATGTGCTTCTGGGTTTCTGACAAAAGAAATTTCCAGCATATCCAGAATGCCATTAGCTCTGAAAGGAAAAATTTGGCATTTGTGTCACTCTTTATGGGTGATTGCAACAGAGGTAACCTGCCAGAACACCAACCAATCCTCAAACGTGAGTAATCTAGGAGTCCAAACACCATGGAAGGCTTCTAACTGTGTTCTTCTCTGCTTTTACATGCTTTGCTCTAATACTTTAGTATTTCTGCAGCACTAAAAATAATTTTCTGTCTGAAAACACTGTAATAGTTGTGTAACAATCTAATTGCATTTCTGCCTTCAGTAAAATGTCTCCAGAGATATTCTCTCTTTGGCCAGTGAAATGAGTTGATAATTTACCAACACAAAGGTATTTAAATCCTCTACCCCTGATGATTCCTTCTCTTTTGCTTATTCTGACTATTGATGGATCTGGGTTTACCCTGGGGTTAGCATTTTACATCTGTAATACCTGTTACTTGTTGGCAAGTAACACAGAGGCCATAGAGGCCAAAAACTGAGCTGTAACAGAGGCTTGTCCATGTGTCCATTCACAGGCATCTCTTTAGGGTGCATATAGGGAGCAAAGCAGTAATTTATCTTTAAATTTTCTTCCTTTGAAAAAATTATGCGACATTTTAAAATCCTTGTCATTACCATTAGACTGGGTTAGAGAAAACCTAGGAAAACTTGAAATCCACAAGTCCATGGGCCCTGACAGAACGCATCCATGAATGCTGGAGAGAGCTGGCAGACAACACAGTGAGGCTGCTTCATGGTCACCTTTGAAAGGTCATGGAGATCAGGAAAGGTATCTGAGGACTGCAAGAAAGCAAATGTCACCCCAGTCTTCAAAAATGGCAAGGAATCATGAGTGGGGTCATGAGTGGTATCCCACAATAGTGGCCCACCCATGGAATGACCGGTCAGTCAGCCTTGATCCCTGAAAAGGTTATGGAGAACCTCATTCTGGAGGCCATCTATATCCACATGGATCACACAAAGGCGATCAGAGGTCAAGCATGGTTTCACTGAAGATAAGTAAATCATGCTTGACCAACCTGATTGCCTTCTATGATGAAACAACTACCTGGATGGATGAGGGGAGAGCAGTGTCTACTTGATATTGTCTACTTGACTTCAGCAAGGCTTTTGACACTGTCTCTCACAACATCCACATAGGCAAACTCAGGAAGTCTGGGTTGAATGAGTGAACAATGAGGCGGATTGAGAACTGTCTGAACAGCAGATAGCAGAGGGCTGTAATCAGTGTCACGGGCTCTAGTTGGAGGCCTGTCACTAATGGTGTCCCCCAAGGTTCAATACTGGGCCCAGAACTGTTTAATTTATTCATTAATGACTTGGATGAAGGTCCAGATGCCGCCTCAGCAAGTTCATGGATGACAACAAGCTGGGAGAAGCTTTGGGCTGATCCCTCTGAGTGATGTGCAGCCCTTCAGAAGGACCTGGACAGGTTGGAGAGATGGGCAGAAAGGAACCATCTGAAATTCCACAAAGGCAAATGCAGGATCCTGCAATTAGGGAAGAATAATCCCAGGGACCAGCACAGGCTTGGGGCCAAAGTGCTGGAAAGCCCAGCTCTGCAAAGAAGGACCTGGTGGACACCAAGTGTCCATGAGCCAGCAGCGACCTTGTGGCCAAGAGAGCCAATGGTACCCTGGGCTGCATTAGGGAGAGCACTGACAGCAGGTCAAGGGAGGTGATCCTGCCCCTCTACTCAGCCCTGGTGAGGGGCATCTGGAGTGCTGTGTCCAGTTCTGGGCTCCTCAGTAAAGAGACATGGAGCTCCTGGAGCAGGTGCAGTGGAGGGTGACAAAGATGATGAAGGGACTGGAGCATCTCTGTTACGAGGACAGGCTG